ACAATCAAGCTTGATTCTCAATTACACCTCCTTTTTACTTCAGCGATAAAGAACTGGATTACAAAGCTTCAAAAGGATAGGGGTAAGGCTGATATTACTTGACCTTTGGAAACCTGGGCAGTCTTTGAACAATTGACGGAGACTGTAACCGACATTGATGCTTTTGCTCTAATAATATTTTGATTGACAGCGCAGTCGTCTTTGCATTTCCTCTCCGACTCCCCCCCCCAAAAAAAAATAGTTTAAAACTGAAATCTATGTTAGAATGTTTACGAACTGCAATCCTAGAATTGTCAGACATTAACTTCATCTTGGCTTCCCTTCCTAATAGTTCGATATTTACGAGAATTTACATTATGCCCTAGAAAGTCCAATTTTGTACTTAAATAATTACAAACCAACGAACAGAAATAAATCTGCCATGACACCCTAGTGCTCCACTTAACTTGACTTCAGACAGGTCCGACCACACTTAGATGTAAGTCGCGAATATAAGAGGGGCACTAAGCGAAAACATTTTCACGATAACTGCCTTAAATTAAGACTACGTCGCATATAAGTACTTTTGGATGACTTAATTTTTTTGTGCCCCTGGCCAGTTTTAAACGTACTTGTTTAAAGCCGGGTAAACTTGTTTTATTCCATTATAAAGAAAAAAAAGATGAGGATGGATATTAGATTTACGACAGAATAATTAATAAATTAAAACCGCACTCTACAGTCGGAGACTAGAACTTCACAATTTTGTGGACGTGTTTGCAACTCCAGGCTTCCGTAGACATCTGTGATGTATAGATTCAGCAACGTCATAACTATTGTAATGGTAATTTACACACTGCAGCCATTATCCATAGGAATGTAAATAAGTCGAGCCTGCAACGAGAAAGCCATTATGACCTTCAACTTGCCAACTTTGGCTGTGCATCGAAAAATACAAGTTTTTCCGGGTATGAGAAATACCCACCGTTTAGTGCATAGTCTGAGCTTAACTCGAAGTGTACACCCACTGAATACGCATTATTTGCAATTGGGTTGTGTCTACGATTTTTCACGATTGTGGAGCTTTTGGAAATACGTTAAGTGATAGCACAAAACGGAGACCAAAACACAGCGAACTTTCATCTACGTGAACTGTGATTATAGCAAGGTAGGTACTCGCGCTGGTGTTTGTTACATGGGCGATGTTTCGAGGGGGAAATAAAAACGGGTTGTTTCCGGGTAGACATAGGTCTACATAGTTTTCAGTCACAGTGCTTATTTCAAGACCATACAGGCGCATTGGACATGTAGAACTCTATTCTAACACTGAAAACACCTGCATGCGGTAGAGCCCAACATGCAGTAGAGTCCAAGGAAGACAAAGTGGAGAACTTTAACATGAACAAGATTTGTGATATTAGTCACCATGCAGTCCTATAAAGATAGAGCATAAAGATAGTAATTTTTCCCTTCTGACACTTATCAGCCATCAAAAAGTGATAATATGTCATAACAAGTCAAATTTAGAGGGGAAAAGTGTTGAAGTATTTTTAATTAGAAAACACTGTGTTTTTCACGGGTGAAAAGTGATGGCAAGATATAGGAATCTTTCCTCTTTGTACTGGAGCGGGTGTTTCATTGCCAGAGCTTGCCAGAAAAGGAACATAAACACCCTTTGAGGACCGAAACAGGTGACACATAGGCGGCACATAGGTGACACATAGGAGGCACATTATAGGTTCGTTTGTCGTATGTAAAGAAAACCCAGCATTTCTTAATTACTGCAATGTTTAAGCATGTACTCCTATATGTATGAATAAAAGCCTGAGCCTGAGCTAAGCCTGAAAACATGGACTTCATACTTGTTTAGCTTTTGCTTGATTATAGGAGGTACATACGTTCGTATGTATAAAACAAAAAAAGACCGAGCGTTTACATTCACTGTCAATTTTTAAACATTTACTTTTTTTTTAAATTTATTTCGTGTTATTTAACAGGGAAGTCCCATCAGTTGTCAATGAACTGTTCTCCCTTGGGGCCCTGGATTACATAAAAACATAATATAATAACCACAAAAATTTAACCAAAAAAACACAAAAAAGACATAATGAATACATTACTAAAAATAACCCAAGGAATTAAAACCACACAAAATTTAAACCCTAAATTACAACATATGATGTATAACCAAAGGAATTAAAACCACTAAAAAATTAAAACCCTAGATTAAAACAGACGATGTTGCCCTAGATAAACAGATTTACAACCCAAACCACTTCCCAAGAACCATAAATTAATCCCCTTCCACCTGTAACGTTCATCTACTCCAATATGTATGAATACAAATGAATAAAAAGGTTTTTACTGAAAAGCATTCGCTTAAACTGAAAGGGATTGACTTTTACTGTTTTAGCTTTTGCTGGAAGTGTGCTAACTCTATAAGTGCTATATTTTGTATGAATACAAAGGAATGCATGATTGGAAGTATTTAGCCTACTGGTTATTTTTCAAGGTTTGGTTTGGGGCTACCTGAAAAATATAAAGCAAATACCTCTGCGCTAAAATTGCTGCATTTATGAAATGTTATTATCGTACAATAAAACAAAGGTCAGTAAATTATAATTAATACCATACACTCTATAACCAACCACATTCATGCAAAATGTATGCACTCTTTTGTTATTAATTTCATAACTAACATAAATTATAATTTGGCGTTTTAAAGATATGAGAAGTGTGTAATTTCGTGGCACCACAGTAATGAGGGCGGGGGGAAATATCCAAGGGCATTCAGGGGACTGAACGAAATGAAATAATCTTCTGGTTTATTGGTTATAATAGGCTTCACGGAATTTTTGTTTTTACTATCTAAGATACACTTTAACAAAAAGACTTTGTGGGCCTCCTGTGTTAAAATTTGGTATGATTTTACTGAATGAAATATGAATCTGGGTGACAAAATGTTTTTTAAGGTAACTGTGACTTCGTTTGCAGGTCACTTAATTGTTTCACAAAAGTACTTTCTGCATTCTGTAACTTGCGAAAAAATGGTCATTATTTGAGTTGGATTTCAGGATCAAATTAACTGCATGTTCCACGCAGCTGCACGCACCACATTGGCGAATTGGACTCTCTACCTTACGTGTTAACCCCAAGTGGGCCAGTTCGTATGCGTCCAAAATAGACCCTTTTGTTGATAACCATTCGTCCTTGCATCAATCCAACAGTGAGCTTAGAACTGATTGTGTGCTACATGCCGTCTCTACCCGTGAATGATGAACAGTAAAAGAACACAAATATTTACACAGATTCAGGCATTTGCTTTTCCTTTACGCTTTCACTGTTAGTTTAATGTTATTACTGTAGATGCTTGTAATTCATAGCATTTAACGTTATCACGGATCCTGGACACAAGGGGGAACGACTCAGCCAAACTCCTGGTTAGACGCGTGATAACGGCCCGTACAGGTGGCAATAACCTTGAATACTTGTCAACCAACAAAGACCCAGACAGCTTTACCGCTTCACCGTACCACTGCACTGCACGCGGCGGCTATTAAATTTGCAGGGATCTGTGCCTCTTTTTGTGTAGAAGTCTGTCAAGCCGGCTGGTTGTTTTTAAATATTCATGACCCTACGTTTTTGGCCTCATTATTGAATTCTTATCAGCGATAACTACATAATCATGTTAACGCCGAGCACAATATCTTTAGTTTTCAAATGCAATATGAAATATTGCATTTGTATTATCGGTTTGGGATCACATTTCTCTAAAACTTTTCAATGCAAGCCTAATTTAAAACGAGATTTGGGTAAACGGTGTTTTCGAAAAGGTGTAATTTGACGTTTATTTCCCGGGTAAATACTTCATATATGACAACAAAAACGGCACAATACCATTTGTCAAATCCAGAAATATTTATTTTAAAACAAATTTGGAACAAGTATTCTGGAACATAAGGACTAGTTTTGCTCAAAGTTTTAGGAATATTTCCAATTTATATTTCATGCAAAAAAAAAAAAATTACACACCTGCAAAATTCGCAATTAACATGTCATAACATGGTATTAAGGCCTGTTATCACGCGTCCAACCAATTAAGGCAAGTCCGTTCGGTGCACTTTGTACTGGAGCTCAGGACAGTCGTTCATCCTCGTGTGTAGGATCCATTGCTTTATACATACAGCCCAATGTAATGCGCCCCAACTCCATTATGTTTGTGCCAAATTTCCAAGAATGTTGGCCTGTTGTTGCTGCATGCGGCAACTACAAGAGTGCGTTAAAAGTAATGGACATCATTTTACAATCATTCAAAAACTAACCTGTCAAAATATCAAGAAAATATCCTGCTTGATTGTATGTCAATTGGGTCACACATCCTGTGAACTATTACGCTGTTATTATCAAGAAATGATACATTATCATTATTTCCTCGCGATGGTCGGACCAAACCACCGCGTGTCCAACATAACCCAGGTGGTTGCGTGGGGAAAAATGTATGCGGTCTTCTGAGCTGAAATTTCGATGCGTTATTTTATACTAAACTGCTTCAGATGTATTATATTGCTGTGCCTTGAATTGGCAAAAATACTGAATTTTGCAAATGGTACCCATATTACCTTTGGCATAATTCCTACGGTTTCCTTTCAAATTATTAAAAACTTCCCAAAGATAGTTTTAGAATTTATTCGCCACAATTGTTAATGACACTTTATCTACTTTGGGGTTTACAATTTTACCTTTAAAAAGACGGCTCGGACAAAATGGTGATGAGTAGTGTGTCACTAGCCTGAAACCCTTTATAATGCATGAACTTTTATAAACAAATGACACAAATTGAAAGCATTCAATGAGAGTACCACATTGACAATTGTCATGTGTACACCAACATTGCAGGGACACCTTTTGATACGGTATGCTCAAAATTTCCCCACATGATCATCAAAATAGGTTGTATTGTCTCAATTTTCTTAACTGATGAATATTATGAAAATGTCTTTGTGCAGGTTTTGTGAGACAAGATGGCGGAAGCTGCAGCCAAATACGTGCTGGGTACGATCAGTCGGGGACACCTCGAATGCCTGATTTGTTGCTGTCGTTTCATCGATCCGAAGATGATGGACTGTCTACACAGCTTCTGCCTGAACTGTCTGGAAGAGCTTATCAGCAGACAGCAACCCAAGGCGGACCAGATTACTTGCCCAATTTGCAAGCAGGAAACTGCGGTACCAGACACTGGATTGCAGGGTCTACCCAACTGCTTTTCCCTGAGTTCCCTCGTCGATGAATTCAACAAGCAGGAGCGGTTGCTAGAAGACGAACCTTCGAATGCCCCACCAACGTGTGAGGAATGTGAGGAGGGCTTAGAAGCAGTCTCAAGGTGCTTAGACTGTGATGGGAACATCTGTCAGAAATGTCGAGATACCCATCAGAAGATGAAATCTACTAAGAAACATCTGATCGTCAACTTGGATCAAAGCGAAGCACAAGTGCCTACGGTGGATCTTTTGAAAAAAGATATCCCGCAATGTAACAAACACACTACTAATGATCTCTGTTTTTACTGCGAGACATGTAAGACTTTAGCCTGTGCGGCATGTGTTGCATTAGATCATCGAGGAGCGAAGCATAAATACAGAGAAGTCGCAGATGCCATACGATCGTATCGTCAGGATGTCGGCAAAATTATGCAAAGGTTCGAAAACAACAGACATGAATACAAAGTCACCGATGATTCACTCTCACATGCCAGGAACAGGTTGAAAATCATGGTGGCCCGGGCCTGTAAGGACATTACCGCCAAAGAGGAAGAAGAGTTTGCAAAGATCAGAAACAAATCTCGCCTTCTCAGAGACAAAGTAACACAAATCGGCGAAGAACGAGAAAAAAAGTTCGAGGAAGTCCAGAAAAGAAACCATGACAAGATGGAGCGGGCCGAGCAGATTGTAGCAACAGTCAACAAGTTGATGCAGCAAGCTGACGACTTTGAGCTTTTGGACCTCAAACCCAAGGTGATGCACAACTTAGAGTGCCAGGAGAAACTCAGATTGGAGCATGCACAGCATGGACTCTCATTCGTTGGGGTCAAATGTCAAGATGTTGTGGCAGATGCAGACCTTGGTGAGGTACTTGAACATGAAATCTGGCAGTCAGAAGAAGAGTTTCATTGTTGGGATGTGCCGGAATTTGATCAATCTGATATTGATCCATCTGATTTTGCAATAAGCGTCGCGTGTTTAGGGAATGGCGACATAGCCGTAAACGACTTATTGGGACAGTTGGTGATTCTTACTTCCACTGGGTGGTATAAATCAAAAGTTAATCGGGAGAAGTTAAATCGTCCCGCGAGAGTAGCTGCTTCCTCTGATGGCCTACTTCTGGTTGTTGATGAAGATTATGTAAAGGTGTTTGACTCCTCTCTAAAATTCATTCGCCAGTTTGAACCATCACGTCAGATTAATGAGGTAGATGGTGAGCCAGAGAGTAATGTTTCTGGTATTGCTGTGGATAAGAAGCATCGGATAGCAGTGGCAGACAGAGGGAGAAAGCTGATATCTCTGCACCATCTGGACGGGTCCTTGATTACAGCCATTCGACATGACTTGGTCGATTTTGGTTTGGCCATCGGAATCGAGGAACGCTTGATTTTCACAAACTACAGGGAGAGCAAGTTGATTTGCACTACCTATACGGGAGAAGAGGTCTTCAATATAAAGATTTATTTTTCCTTGGATCCTGTAAGACCAACCGGCGTGTGCTGCGATGACGCTGGGGACATATATGTTTCCGTCCACTGCGAAGAACCCGAACACAGTCGAGTGTTCCATTATTCAGCGGGGGGAGCTTTTATGGGGCCAGTGGCTCTAGGACTTCACTCTCCCTATGACTTGACATTTACGCAAAGAGGAGACCTCGTGGTGGCTGATGAGATCTCAATCAAGTTCTTTCAGCGGGTGTCAGTGGAGCAGAGTAGGAAAAGAATTGTGCACTGTTCCTTATATACATAAACGTTGGTGTGCTGATGTTTTGCCTGTAGGATGTAGAATTCACAGGGGCAACTAATTTGATGCCCATAGCGATGGTGGTTGCTTGGCAATTGTATATAGTAAAATGACTATAGGGCGCAGTAATCAAGACCCAAGACAAAATCGTACTACAGCCATAAATGTGGTTGTAGTTGTTTAGAAAGTACAACGATGAAAAGTGGTAACGTGCTTAAAGAATAAAGGGTCTTCAATGCAGACATGATCATTATCACGATCAGCAGAAACATGCACGTGTAGCCAACTGATGCATTCCCATAATGTAAACACTCGAGTGACTTTGCATTTTCCCACTGAATATTTGAGTGTTGAACTTTTATATGTAACGGAATGTTTGAACCTTGTTTTACATCATAGGGAGAGTTAAATTTGGTTTCCCTTTTAGAATCCTGCTCTCATAGCTGTCTAATATCAATGTATACGACTGTCCTATACTTAAACAGAACTTAGAATATAACAATGCAAAATAAGATGGAGTTTAGAAACAGCTGTTTCAAAATGTTCAGGATTCTCAAATGAATATGTCGTGTTTTGGAAACTCTGTCTCTCAAAAATTTGTGACAACTGTCAACCACAAATTGCTGTTTTGATAGACAACATGTGAAACCGCAATCTGCCAGCCCTCCCTTTTTGATTGGTTAACCAATTACCAGTAGATTTAAATGTTTGTTTGTTGGGGTGTTGGGCTGTTTGTTTGTTTGTTTGTTGGGGTGTTTGTTTGTTTGTTTGTTTGTTTGTTTGTTTGTTTGATTTATTTCCATTTATACATGTACATACATAAGCAACAGTTCACATGATATAATATAAATACATGTAGTTAAATAATAAACAGAATTGGAGTATGAATGGGGGTGTCATCCAGAGGAGGACTAGCCTTCTGTAATCGGAGCACCCAAAACTGTCGTCAACAATCATCATATTGTCACATAGCATTTCAATATACAAAAAGTAATTATAGTATAGGAAAGAGCACAATCTAAATGGTAATAAGTGTCTACAAAAATTAGACTAAATACTGCCTCGCTGATTGAAGACATGAATAGCAATTGGGTTTCGTACACGCAAAATTTGCATATTTTGACAAATAAAATTTCTTGAGATGTTTAACGAAAACAATTCTAGAAGAATTAACATAATTTCTAACATCCTGAGGTAGGGAATTAACAATTTCAGGCAAATTATATCGATAATTAGCAGATACAACATCCACTCTACAGGAACCGGGTAAGTGAATAAGGATTTGTTGTCTTGTAGAGTACGAATGAAATTCTTCATTTAAAGGAAAGAATGCTTGACTACTTAAATTAAGTGGAAGTAAATTATGAAAATAATCAAAGTAATGAGTACCGATTTGGACATTATAAAAATCCTCAAATATAAGAATTTTAAATTTACTACAAAGGGGTACAGTATGAGTGTTGTATTTAGCATTGCAAGCATTCCTAATACATTTATTCTGCAACGTAATGAGTCTAGTAAATAGAGAAGGATGTATCTTGATCATACCACCCCAGGCTAAAATACCATAATTTAAAAAAAAATTAACGAAAGTGTTATAAAGAGCCAAGCTATCTTTAGTCCTCAAAAGGTTCCTAGATCTATTAATGATGTAATTAGCTTTGGTAACTTTATTACACACTGAAGAAATTTGCTTCTTCCAAAGCATGTTTTCATCTGTTTCAAGACCCAAGAACCTAGTACAGGAAACATTTTTGAGAATAGTATTTTCCAAACGTAAAACAACTTCAGGCAAATATGGTACCTTCTGTTTAGATGAATAACAAATAAAAAAGTTTTTTTTCAGGATGAACCCTTAACCTATTGGCTCTAAACCAATCTTGAAGTATCAGTAAATCTCTATTTACATTATCAGCCAACTCAGTTAAATCTCTACCAGATGCAGAAAGGGTTGTATCATCAGCAAATAATACAGGTTTTAAGAATGAACAACACAAGGGTAAATCATTAACATAAATTAGGAATAAAAAAAGGTCCTAGAGTAGACCCCTGGGGTATTCCACAATTAATTTCATTAGTGGTTGATGCAACACCATTCACGACAACATACTGCCTACGATTGTTAAGATAACTAGTGAACCAATGAAGTGGAACACCCCGAATTCCATAGTGATGTAATTTGCTAAGAAGTAAATCATGACTTACTGTATCAAAAGCTTTCTTTAAATGAAGAAAAATGCCTAATGAAATATCAGGGGGAGATTTATTAGTAGCATCAGTTAAGCTATTGTAAAAGTCAAGCATTGCATGCACAGTACTTCTACCTGGACGAAATCCATACTGGTTCGGAGAAAGCAAATTGTTGGATTCAAAAAACAAAGAAGCTCTTTTATACATAAGTTTTTCTAAAACTTTTGAGCAAGTGTTAAGTAAAGAAAAAGGTCGATAATTGCTTGGGTCTTGTGCATCCCCCTTTTTAAAAATAGGAACAACTTTAGCTGTTTTATACATGTCGGGAAATATTCCTTGATCAAAAGAAGCATTAAAATTACTCGCCAAAGGAGAAGAAATTATTCCAACAACGTCTTTTAAAATAGAATTGCTTATTTCATCAGGTCCAGAACTACTCTTACTTGTAAACTTCGAAACAATCTCAATAATTTCATGGGAGTCAGTAGGACTGACAAAAAAAGTATTAATGGGAGACTGAACAAAATTGACATAGTAATAACAGTCCTTAATTGCCCCAGGAACAGCCCGACATGTTGTTTTACCTATAGAACAAAAATGATTATTAAAAGCAGATGCTATGTCCTTAAGGTCGGTAATCAAGCTGAAATTCAAAATAATACTACTCAAATTCCCAGAAGAGTGTTTAGGACTGAGTTTAATCATGGAGTTAAGAATTCGCCAAGTTTCTCTAGCATTGCCTTTTAAATCATTAAGCTTATTTCGATAATACAAAGTTTTGGCCATACGCTTGAGTTTATTGAAAACATTATTGTATTTTTTATAAAAAGCAAGCTTGGTCGAGCTCTTATTCCTATTTACATAATGCGTTTGTTTATTGTAACACGATGTCAGTAAACCCGAAGTCATCCATGGAGCTCTCAACGATATTCGTCGAGAAGGTTTTGTGTGTACAACAGGGAATGATCAATCAAATGCTGATTGCCAAATTTCGTTAAAAGCAGATAATTTCAGGTCAGGATTTTCTAAATCATAAACTTGAGACCAGGTAGCAGTTGAAAGTAATCTCTGAAAAGCTTGCCGATTGGCAGAGTTATATTTTCTAAAAGTCCAAACACGGTCAAATTCTGGCTTTGAATCGTGACCCTTTTCAAATGAATATAATGAAATAAAATGATCAGAAAGATCGCTTTTTATAATAAAAGAGGCCGCTTTTCTATCAACTCTATTAGTAAAAATATTATCAATCAGTGATAAAGAATTTGAGTTGGGGTCAATTCGAGTAGGCCTTAAAATCATAGGAACAAAATTATCAGCAAATAGACTATCGATGAGGTTACTGACAAAATTTCCATAAAAGGATTGTTTACCATAACTAAGCAGATTTACATTTATATCACCTAGAATATAACAAGCTTTAACTTTAATCTGTTTAACCTTAGAAAGACATTTAAGAAATTACCACAAGTTTCTAAATCACGAGGTAATACTCCTGGAGATCTATATAGAGAAAAAAACCAAAAAAACTATCCCTTGTTTGTGGATTAATTTCAGCAACAATCATTTCTATTTGGTTAGAAAAATAAGACAAATCTTCCCGAACAACAAAATTAAATTTATCATCAATATAAATAGCTACACCTCCTCCCTTCCTGTCAGTACGGTGTTTTTCGCATAAACTAAGGGGATGATAACCAGGGAGATTATCAAAATCACAACAGTTCCTATCATTTAGATACGTTTCAGATAAAGCAATAAAATTAACCTTTTTCTTCTCACTCAAAAAATGCAAGTGCGTCTTTAAATCATCCCATTTACTGAGTAGACTAAAAATGTTCAGTTGCATAAAAATAATAGGATCAATGTACTTCTCAACATTTAAATTAAAATCTTGATACGTTACATAAGGACTTGAAATTGAGGAGTAGTCTGATTTTTAAGGGGACGGCACACAAAAAGAAGTGTCGCCATCATCCTCATTGTCATCAAAAAGCTCAGCAAAACAAATATCATCTATGGTGGTTTGAAAATTACACATAACAAGTCAGTAAAGAATTCAGTTGTGCTCAAAAATATACCTTCTGAATAATAAAAGATGTTGGAATGATGAACTGTTGAAAATAATACGTAAAATCACATTAGAACAAGTAGTCCTAAAAAAACACCACGTGACCAATGAAAATTGTCAACAGCAGTATACAAAATTTAGTATGATATGCGGCAAGTCCAAACATGTGTGTGGCCGCATGGGGGCTCCATCAGCCAAGGCACAAGTTGACATAAGTCATGATGGACCCAGGGTGCCAGAAAACGAGGGTACCAGAAAAACTATCGTTCGGCCGGTTGATAATTGTCCGGAAGGGACCAAGCTTCAACGACTTTTTCAGTCTTACCAGCGATGATCAGGCTTACTGAGCCTTTGCGAAAATCGATCTTTACCTGAGGGTTCTTGCCCAGTTGTTTAGCTGACTTGAACGATGTACTTGCCTTGAGTTGACCGTGTGCAGCTTTAATCTTCTGGGGCCATTGGGACACCACTTTCATGTCTTTCATCTCATCGGGTTTAGAACGAGCAGACCTTAGCACATACTCTTTGTCGTCCCAGACGAGAAAAGCGACCAGGAAATTTGGGTTTGTGGACTGGGTGGAGCCAGATTTAGGGCGTTTCGGAAGAGGGTGAGATCTTCGTAGAACCATCGAATTAGCTTTGTCGGCTGTGATACCACAAAGCTGCATAAGACGCTTGGCCTTTACATCATTGTCCATCTCTGAGCTGAAGCTTGGAGGATTGAGAAAGACCAAGTTATATTGCATGC